CATGGGTGCAGCCGTGGGTGCAGCGCTTCTCCCGGGCCTTTCTCAGCCCTCAGTTTGCAAAACGCCCCGGGAATATTTTGCAAATCGACAAGAGGGATGCTGCTGGAGAAAAACACCCCGGTTTGGGTGTAATGGCAAGGGGGTGATTCTGGTGCAGGTCTCAGGTACCGGACGGGCTGTAACTCCCCGGGTGCTGGCTTGCTGCTCCGGACGGATGGCTCCCAGCTAGTCTGTGCTCCCGTGCTCGGCATAGCTAGCTGCTGTCCCGGGGCAGCTGACCGTTACTCAGGGGTCAAGAAAACCCCCGTCTCAAAACAGGAGTAAAACTTCTGTGACCAGTTAGATGATCCAGCCGCCAAAAAGGTCAGACATCTAAAATTCGCATATAAATAAACACCAGCGTTTTGAGTGCTGCATGAACAAAATACACTAGTTCCTGGGAGTTCCTCTTGTGACCATAGTTGTGAAGCTTAATTTAGGGATACGAAAAACGTTGACCTGCAGTGTTAGATAGGAAGAGCAGAGAACGTGGATGTGATGGAGAGGGCAGTGGAGGGAAGGTGGAGGGAGCACTGAGTTGTTGTGCTGAACATAACCTGAGACAACACAGGTTAACTTGTTTGATTATCTTGTGTGTTTTGGGGTTGGTTTAGTTTTTGGGCTTTGGGGGTATTTTGCATGGCTTGCTAAGGAATAAATTTCGCTTTATCCTGCTCTGTCCATCCCTTCTCTCAGCCGCACACACCTCACTTTTGAACCCGTTTTGGAGCCAGATCTAACAATTAGCAATGCCACTTTTCTAGATGAGTTTTACGAAGAGAGGCAGCTGGACAGAGGTGGGAGAACTGGAAAGAAACAGCAGAGTAAGCACGACGGATCTTGTAATCCCCCAGAGAGCCCTCCCTGGGCACTGCCGTGGGGCAGAGCCTGCGGGAGCCGGCGTTCCGTGGCTCTGCTGCTTGCGGAGCAGCCTCTGGGCTGGCACTCGGTGTGTGGACCTCGCAGGGAGGTGGGTGCAGCCCCTGCGCTCGCACGGGAGCCAGAGGAGCCGCGAGCTTCTGTGTTCGCTGTTAGCAGAAAAGCTCAGGTGTTTAATACGAAGGATTTCACACGTGTGTGTGAAACAGTAAAACAACCTGTGGCAGCATTTTCTGGTCTGAGGTGCTTCTACTGTCTTCTCTCTTGAGTGTAGTGAAACTTGGAGTATTGACTTCTTGGTGGTCTGTACTGAATATAGAAACCTGAACACTGATCGCTGCTAAAATACTAACCCAGCAATGAAAATCAAGTGGCATTTAGAAAAAAAATTACAAACCAAAGCGTGTACGTAACCCTAATAGTAAAAGTTTATGGTGAACTTAAGGGACGTGTTTGACATGGATAAAGCCAGTTTAATTTGTGTCTACCTGCTGCCTCTTAGCAATCTATTTAGTAAAAAGATTAATTAAGAAAGCATCTGTAGAAAAGAGAACTCCTCCGCACAGTCTGTGTTTTTTCGTAGAGTGATCCTTCCAGCCCATGATCATGTTAAGATTAGCCTGCGAGTTTTAAACTGCCTCTCTTGATTTAACTGGGGTTGCACCTATTTGAGGTGATGCACAGTTATCTTCGCAGTGGAGGCTCTGGCCGTGGGAAGGGGTCAGGTGCAGAGCGCGCTGGTGCGCGGCGACTCCGCCAGACTTCTTCACGCCTCTGCGACGGGATTTGGGCCGAGGTGGCAGTTACCAGTTACTGTAATTAGCGCAGGGCTGCCATCTCTCCCCTGGGTACCAGGATCAACAGTTCCTGCTGCTGCAGTTCATAAGCTTGGCTCTGGCTGGTGCTGCTCCTGGGCGTGGGAGCAAGGCTTAGCACGGTGCTGAGTGAAGCACTAGCACTGCTGGTCTGTTTGGATGCTTTTCCCCTGGTAAGGGATGGTAATATCTCTTCAATGTTCCGGGTTCATGAAAGAATTTATTTTAAAAAAAAATCAAGAAGGGAAGGAAAGAATTGTTCATGTCGCAGGGAAGAAGTCAGGGAATTCTGCAGGAGGCCGAGCACGAGCAGAGAAAGCAACGTACTCCCCCGAGCTGTTAGTGACAGTGAGTAGAGCTGATGGACGGTGTCACCGAAACTTTTTATTCCCTGGGAATTTCTCGTGCCCCAGTAAAAACACCCACAGTTACTTCAGATCAATCCTTTACCATCATCATTTGTTTTCAAGAGAGAGTGAGTGATTTACTAGCTTCCAAACTAACAACTTCCAAAAATCATTTCAAGTGGAGGATTTGCTGGACTCAGAGAAACAAATTATCCACCTGCTGTAATACCAGAAATGCAAAGATCAATGAAATGTGCCTGACTTAGTGTGCTGATGGAGCTAAAGATGGCTGAGGGACTGGACTAGTTCTGATGCTCTCTGCTTGTTCTCTGTAGATCTCTGTTCATCCCCCCCCCTCCTCTTCTGAGCTTTTATTCTCTGTCCCGGCGCAAGGGGCTACCCCAGCTCCTGCCCGTGTGTGCTGTCCATCACCTTGACATTTTTTCTCATGAACAGCATCGCGTTTTCTTAGCTTGCACAAGAAAATGTAGCCTACTGGGAGGGGAACAGGGAAGGTTTCATGATTTTGAAACCTTTCCCCTGTTGGATCATGAGTTCCCCCCCTGCGGGGTGGGACCACACACGGTCCTCCCCCTCCCCGAGTGTGGGGAAGGGCTCGGGTGAAACCCAGCCGTCTCCAGCCTGGCAGGGGAGTTGCACACATCACCTTCCCTCTCCTGGGATCGCTGGGTGCAGTTGACAGTATTTGCAGAAATCCCATGTGTGCTGATTAAGGGAGAGAATATTTTCTAGTTTGGCCATTTCTGGGAACTTCTCAGACAAAGTACAACTAAGCGTACCGAGAAAGAAACCTGCTCTTTGAGCCCTACGGACCAGTTAGCAGCAGCAGAAGGAAAGAAAAGCAAATACAAACAGTACTGTAAGGGGCAAAAAGAAGTTATAGAGCTCATTTTCACTGGATCAGGAAAAAGAAAGGAGAGAAATCTTTGCACAGAGCGGGTGACAGAAGAGCGGATAGATGGCCTTACAAAGCTGCTTCTATTCTTCTCCTCTGTTTTATCTAATGAACAATTTTCCTCTACAGAGATTAGATCCTGACAGCCTCCTGACTGTACAAGCCAGAATCTAGTTGAGGAGTCTATTAGCTTAACAAATGTGAGCTAATGCCACGTGTGTTTCAGGGGATGCCAACTCGGGTCAGCAAGGGGCTCTCGGAGCAGCGGAGCAGACGCAAGTTGTCACAGGAGGGCCCGCGCTACCACGCGAAGGCTCCGCCATCCTCCCGAGCAGGCAGCGGCACGGGTGGAAACGTCACCCCAGATCTGCCCAGCATCTTGAGTGTTCACCTCGCCTCAACTCACAGTTGCCATTTGAGGGGCTGGGAGGGATCGAAGACTGAAAATGGTAGGGCACTCAAGTCCCAGTTGAGGAGAAATCGTCCTGCTGCTGGTGCCTGGGTATCTGTACGTGGAGTTTCTAAGGGGGGAAAAGTAGGGTCGAAGCAGAATTACTCTTGGGCTGAATTGACAGCTGCATGGTGGTGTGAAGCATTTCTCTCTTCCATTCTGTGTTGAATAGAGTTAAAACCCACGTTCTCCTGGCATGAGTTGAATCTTCACCAGAAAAAGAGGTGTTATTTACGGGTACCTTTCAGCAAGGTGGAAGTACTGAAAGATTTCCAGGGGAGCTCCAATGCCTTCTCGAGCCGCCTAAAGATGGGGGGTTCCGTTCCCCTTCGGCACCGCAGCAAAGCCAGGGAGTTGCTGGTGAGCTGTACCAGGGTGGGTTGCCAGCACCACGGAGCCCAATCCCCCTTAGCCAGCAGCACGTTCGGCTCCGAGGGGTCTCTTAACCCTGCCTTTAGCATCCGACCTGAGGTGCCACATCTGCCCTGAAACAGGGCTGACAGCACCCCGGCACTGACACCAGCAGCACGTTGCTCGTCGCGGGGATGAGGGCGATGCTCAGGACCTGCTGCTCTGCCTGCTGACTCCGACGGGGCTGATATTCATCCTTTTGGATGAATAGAAGGGATCATTTGTTATGCACACAGCAATTTTTTTAGACAAAGTTTCCAAAGGGAATGAATCAATACATGACGTGTATTCTGAGATGGAGCTGGGCAGGGCCAGAAATTCATGTCTTACTGGAAGGATATTGAGAATCACAGTTATTCACTTACTGTGCACAATGTTAAAGAGATTATCAAGCTTCTGTCTTGTGTTTACCACCTGGTGGGGGTGGTCCTGCGGCCAGCCCTCTAGCTGGAAGTACAGCCCCAGCTACATCTACAGCCCCTTGCCTGGTACCCTCCTGCCATCTATTTTTTGGCTCTCTGCATGGCAGAGGGAGGGAAACGCAGGATTTGAAGCAAGCTGTGCTGTCCCCTGCTCCAGGGTCAGCTCCTCCAGCAGTGTTTTTAGACAGATCCTCGCTGGTCATGGTTCCCACCAGCTGCTAGGAGGTGCAGAGTAGGACAGCAGAGCGACTGAAGGATTTGAGGGGGGTTAAAAGAGTAAATCAGGGAAAAGAAAGTTGATGTTGCAAAAAAGAGGAGTTACGGTGGGCAATGTGCTGTGCCGGGGCATGGCGTAGGTAGCCAAGGCTCACGTCCTTACAAGACTTCATGTATCTGAATCCATTTCAGACAGTATCTGATGTCTTCATGCTTGCCAGAACATTGATTTCTTCTCCTCCACATTTAACTTGCTGTTCATCAAATTGTGTAGTGGAAAGGAAGGACCCATCAATTGCTATTTGGACATGTGGGAAGTTGGTTATCTAACTTCCAAAAGTCCAGACTTGTTAATTAAATTTGCTCCTCATAGCCCTTTTCTGTGCTTCCTTTTCATATGATTTTTCAGTGATGTCACGGATACACTTTTTATTTCCCCTCATTATTTCTTTACTTCTTGCAGACATTGAATCTGAGTAAACATAAGGATAACATTTTACTTACCTGTTTGTTCAGAAATATGTAGATGATGGGGTTGTAGACTGTGCTGCTTTTGGCAAGGATGGATGGGATGATGCTGGCTGCAGGGGTGATGAGACCAGGTTTCCCAAACGTAGCTAGAAGTGCCACAGTTGCATACGGCAGCCAGCAAAGGAGAAAGCAAATTACCATCACCACCACCATGATCAGGATGCGCTGCTCCCGGGTCCGACCCGTCCCTTTATTGAAGCCACTCACCTGGGTGAGAGAGAGGCACAAATACACTATTAGCACTGCGCATACCGGGAGCAGATGATGATGCATGGGAGCTGCTGGAGTGGCCGCACGAGGGGCAGGGTTGGCAGTGTCATCTGAAATGTTGTTGGCTGGAGAAGAGCTGGCCAACGTGGGCAGGGTTTGCATGGTATGTACCCGAAATACGTACATAACAGTTGGAATAGGATTAGCGATAGTGCTGTTCATCTACAATAGCCTCCTCCAGCCTTCTCTAAATCACAGCATTTAATGTGAGTATCTTGGGCAGGAGGGAAAAAGGGGGAACCCGCCCTGGTCTAACTGGCCCTGGAGAACAGTTGGCCCCAGTGCTCCCAGAAGGACTGCTTGTCCGAGTCCTACCAGCAGTGATGGACCCAGCCAAGATGAAATGCTCTGTACCCAGAGGCCACGGGGGCAGGACAGGAGACAGGCAGGAACATGAAGAACAAGGGTTTGAGAGAACTTTCTCCCCTGAATCCATTGGGAAAGTCAGCAGTTGAATTCAGCTGATTTACAACAGGCTCCTTCTCCGGACTTGGGGCTCACGCGTGCTCGTAAGTAAATCATACTGTATATAAATGCCGATGTCTTATGCCTCACCCTTGTTTCTGAGTTTTCAGTATGTTTTGAAAAGTGGATCTTTTACAGATTGTTGTGTAATGCCTGCCCTGCAAAGTGCTGCGGTAAGCACCAGAAACTAAGTATTACAAGCAGTTTTATGGGGAATCCAGCGGAATGTGTTTGTGTGCTGGAAGGCACCTTGAGACTAATTAAAAAACCAAACCAAAACTGTTCGAAAAGTAGAACATATCTGTAATTGCCCGCTGAGGGAACTCTAATACTGAGTACTTTATAAATATCCTGTTAATGTGCAAATGAAATCTTTTATGACACTTCTCTGTGATTTAAAAGAAAAAAAAGTGGTATTTGCCACTAGGCAAATAAAGTTGTTAATCAAAATATTTCCATTAGTGAGAGGTGAATATTTCACTCAGAGACACCCACAGGCATCAGTAGCTCAGATTTATTCACAGACATCTCAGAAAGCTCCCATTTATATTCTTATATTTCATGGAGTTGATACGAATTCTGTGTGACATTTTCCCTGTGTTCAGATTTTTTGGAAGTCTGCCCCAACTTGGTATAAAACTTTACAAGACACTTAGGCTGTGTGATGAAGTAGAAGCAGCTGGATTGGGGCACATGGGTTTGGGGATGGAACTGGCAGAGGAGTTGCATTTTGCATCATGTGCCCTTGATTTTTAGGCTCCTGAGAAGAGGCACTGAAAGACGGCCGGCTGCCAGGGTCCTTTATCCCCACACAAAACCCCAATTTCTTTGTGCCTTCCTGAAACCCTCCTGTCCCCCCTCCCATGCCAGGAGGCACCCGGGGTGGGTGGTGGGTGACGGCTTGCAAGCGGTGCATCTTAAGGAAAACCAAAGCTCCTTTTTTTTTCTATTGATTTCTATTGATTTTAGAAAAAGCAACCCAACAACCTTTTCCTCTTGCTTCAGGTAAGGTCAGAGAAGACAAATGTTTTCTGGATGTTTTCCAGATCAAAATCAGCCTGGTCTGAGGCTGGGCATAGAGGAGGACTCTAGAGGTGTTTCCCATTTAATAACCTTTAGCAGAGCTCCGGTCACAGGGCAGCTGGTGTACTGCTTGGTCTCCACATCTCTCGCTGAATATCCTGATGCTGTGTGACACAGCTGAACGGGGAGAAAAAGCTGCTTTTTGTCACTGGATTGAACACTGACATAAAGCTAGCGGGATATTTCTGATGGTACATGTTCTACAAGCGCAATGCACCCTTCTCAGGCAAACCTATATCGTGTAAACTCTCTTTACAAGTATTTTCTCCTTTCCTAAAAAAAGAAAAGCTTGCAGTTTTCCAACTGATGCTGCCAGGGAATGGCTTCGTGGATAAGCAAGGAAAGGTTTTCATTTCCTTGCCAGCAGTAGGAAATTATTATTTTCATCCTACGAGGCCAGAAAGTTTGAATATCCTCCCCCTTCTGTAATTCTCCTTGAAGCATTTTTGCTTTCAATTACAAGGCTCCCCTGGTCAGCCAAGGAAACCTGAGACCTTGATATTAATATTCAAGGTACACGCAGAAAACTTTTGCAAAACTAAACAAACTCAGCAACCTTGGAGTGTTGCTGGCACATCATCAGCGGGTGGTGACTTGGATATACCACACAACTCCAGGGCTCTGCTGAGACTTTTGATGTTGGATTGACTGCTGTAGATGGACAGAAGCAGAGCTGTGTGATGCTGACAAGTGATGCTGTGCGCTTTTACTGTAATTTTGTCTTGATAACTTCCAGGGAAAGTAAAAGCACAAGTCTGGCCCAGGTAGCTTGTCTGAAGTTGCTGGCCCATAGAGATTGGAAAGTCAGCCCGGGTTGTTTCTGGCTTAGGGCTAATGGCAACACTGCTGCTGCAGGAATTCAGCACAGGGTTACCCTGGCCGTGCACTGAGCTGGTGTATAGTGTCCTTCCCTTCTGGTTTGGTCAAAAATCTAAACCTCAATCTGCTGTGCAGATTAAAAAAAAAAAAAGAATCTCACTATTTCTCTGTAGGTTTTGGTATAGAAAATAGCCATAGAAAATGTGCTTTTATAGCTTTATGTTTTCTTAGCTGGAAATTGAGTCTCTGATTCTCCTCAAAATGATCTTTTCAGTTTTCTAAAATTTATGATGACTCTGTATCACTCATTCCATATGTTGCATGTGTGGTCCAGTGTACCGAGTTAGCAGGATTGGGGGGGGTTCATCTCCAGTGTAGTTGGAGGCCCTGATCACATCTTGCTCTTACAGTGATGTTTTCACATGCTTCCCACAGGTGTTAATTTTTACATGGAAAACTAACAAAAAGGTGAGGAATAGTTGGGAATCTCTGCAAACACCTGCTGTACCCAGTTAAGGTCCTGACCACGTTTCTCCTGGGCTCTGTTCTGCATTCAGCCCCTGCCAAGGGCAGGCAGTAAAGGCTGACGTTGGGAACCACTGCTGGGTAGTGAAAAGCTGGTTTCCCCATGGGCTGGAGTCACACCCCATGACAACTTACCTGAGCAGAAAAAAGGCTGAGGTACTGGAAATGTTACTGTGCATTCATTCTGCATGCAAGCTGTCCTTTTCGCCAGAGAGCTTACCGTAACTGTCTTCACTGTGCCCTTTCCAGCTAAAACTCAGCTGAAGCTTGTTCACAAAGGTGCCAAACACTGAAGGTGCCAATGAAGTATTTAATCCCATACGTTATATAGGCATTTCCCCATTTTAGGGACATGGTTTAGTGGGCATGGTGGTGTTGGGTTGATGGTTGGACTTGATGATCTTAGAGGTCTTTTCCAACCTTAATGATTCTATGATTCTATGATTCTATTTCTATATGAGCTGATGGAATATGCACTCTCTTAATGCACTCAGTTAACGACTTCGGGGGTTTGCTGGATGCTGCAGGAGTTTGTTGTGCTGCCTGTTTGCCTCTGCCTGGGACATTATAAACCATGATGTGCCTGTGCTAGGTATTAACTTCTGCTACTAGACAGGATCCATGGTGGAGATGGCCATGAACAGAGGAGAAGGACAGTCCCTGTGCTGACATCTATCATTTATAGCTAAGTTACTTTATGTTTTCTACTACAGAGAAGCACCTCTAGATGGTGATTCAGCCTGCAGAAGTGATTAATTTGCCTCTTTTTTTTCATCGACCATAACTGGGAACTTGCACATCCATCATCCTAGCGTAGGAGCAGAAATGCTCACAAATACATTGTTTATGTGGTGTGGCACTGGATGTCACGGGCAGGAGAAGGACATGGATGAGAGACTAATGCAACAAACAATAAGAACAGGTTTAAATAGAGGTCACTGTGGACACAGCAAATTCCTGGTTGATATTGCTGATACATACTGTGCAGAAATAACAGAGTCATCACATTGCTAGGAAAGTAAAATATGCGTTTTCAGCAATGGATATGGAAATTGCTCAGTAACATCCAGGACCGGAGAGCACAGCTGAGTATACCCAGGGCTGCCTGGGAGATTTAGCCACGAAGCTCCCACTGGGATTAATTCCTGAATCCCCAGGTTGATCCGAGAATCTCAGCTGAGTGACTGACTATGTTTTCTCTTGTTTTTTGTGAAACCACCATAGTATTTAGAGCTTGGAGAGTTGACAAGGACACTCATGGGACTAGGAGGATGATCCTTGAGAAAAGTTGGAATGAAGGGAGATAGAGGGGGGAAAAAACCTCGACCAAACTGGGTATGCGATGGCCTGAGCACACCAGCTGAAGCCCCTGGGTTATGTATTTCTCTAAAATGGGCAGCAGAGACACCCCTGAGCTGTGGCAGCAGCTGAGCCACCTTCAGACATCACTGCCTGTTCATCAAGAAATAGTGCCTGAGAGCTATGAAATCAGATATACCCGGTTATACTCTGCCCTGGCGAACTAATAGCTGCAGTTACTTGAATACATACTAGAGAACAAGACTATAACCTAATCAAGTTGCAATTAAATTGCATTGCCTGTACATTAGAGGTCAATCCAATTTCTTCTAAAGTGGATGTGAGACTTCCTGATGGTCCCTGCAGATCAACTTGTGCCCTACTTTTAAGAATTGATAAATGTAGGTAGGGGGTTTGCAGTAGATGTGTTGGATGCCTCAGGGGAAACTCTCAGTGTTACTGTGCTGTCTTTCTTGGTTGATGCTCGTAACTCAGGTCAGGAGATCTATGGGCACGCACATCAATACATCTGTGTCTTGCTTGGAAAGAGCTATGAGGAGCTTAAAATGGCATCAGGCGTATCCTGTGCACAAAGCAGGCTGCCAAGGGAGCCTGGGAAGTGGGGACAGGAGGTTCCAGAGTCCATGAGACCTCTTGGCATGAGAATAGCCTACCTCTGCAAGCATGGGCTTGCTCAGCAAAGTCTGAGCAAAAAGAAATGGAAGCCCAGCAGAAAGCTTCAAACA